GAATGCGAATGCGAATGCGAATGCCGCGTGGACATTTTGGGGTTTTGGTTCCCATCGACCGACCTGCGCCTTCAACCGCATATTGGCTATCTGCGCTGCACGTGATAAACGCGTCGCGCAGGAAGGTGGCTCGGCGAACCAATCGCCGAACAAGATACACAATAGTCTTCATTCCACTGGTCCTTTGCCACTGCTGCCAGAGGGGGGGGGTGGGTGGGCCGGGGGCCGGGCGGGGGGGCCAGGGGGGGGGGCGGTCAGAGGTCAGGCTGAGGGCGATCAGAGGCTGTTGGGGCACCGAGGGCAGGGACGGGTCGGGCCCGGACCAGGACGGGTGCTCGGGGGGGGGGGGGCGGGCCTCGGTGGGACGGGCGGGGGGAAAAAGGAGGGGGCGGAGGGGAGAGGAGAGGCCAGAGAGAGAGATGCCCCCTGGCCCCCTCCTGGCACCGGACGGTGCAGTAGTAGAAGTAGAAGTCGTAGTCGTAGTCGTCGGTCGGGCCTGCGGGCCGCGGCCGCCCTGGCCGCGGCCCGCGCAGGGCGGCGGGCGGCGGCGAGGCGGAGCAGGAGGAGGAGGAGGAGGAGGAGGAGGATGAAGAAGGAGGCCAGGTGTGGGGATCAGGAACAGAAAAAGTGGATGGAACGCCGCAGGACCGAAGACTGCCTCAGGTCCTGCGGCGTTCCATCCACTTTTGCGCTGCAACCGACGCCGCGGCTCCAACGTCAGTCAGACTGAGGAGGAGGAGAAGGAGGAAAAGGAGGACGAGGAAGAGGAGGAGGAGGAGGAGGAGGGGGAACAGCAGCAGACCAGCCAGAATCATCAAGGGGAGATACGAGTTTGGAGATACAGTCGGTCCGTATCATAAGGATGAGCAAGGGTCTCGGCGTCGGACACCCATTCCGAAGCTTTTCCAATGAACGCGGCCAAGGATGGACCGCGGACCTGGAGCCTGGAGGCAAGGATGCAACGCGACCTCTGGGAAGGATGCCCATCCTTACTATGCGGGTTGACTGTGCTTGACCGCTTCAACTTGGGCCTTGCGCCCTGCCCTTGAACTTGTACTTGTGCCCCAGGCAACCTGGGCAACACCGATGATCTATCGGGCCCAGCGGGGGGGGGGGCTGAGGGAGGAGGGAGGGGAGTGCCCAAGCTCGGGAGCCCACGAGCGACCTGCGCGGCTCTGTCCTCTGTCACAATCAAAGAAGGAGGAAGAGGAGGCGGAAGGAGGAGGAGGAGGAGGGGGCAGGGGGGAGGAGGAGTAGGGTAGGGAGGAGGAGGAGGTGGAGGAGAGACGAGAGAGGAGGAAGAGGATGGGTGAAGAAGAAAAGGAGGATAAGTGAAGAAGAGAAAGGAGGAGGAGGAGGAGGCGGAGGAGGAGGCGGAGGAGGAGGGCAGACAGGAGGAACTGGCAGAGGTTGCACTGCTACTGCTACCCTTCTTCCCGAGTAGGGGGGGATTGGCATAGGGCGCATCGACCTGGAAACGGCGATACATCGCCGATAGATCGGCGAGAGGCCCCCGATAGCGAGATCGCAGATTCCTGGGCGGGGTGGTGCTATCTGGCCCCTATCGGCGATCAATGGGCGATTGGGGATCGATGCGTCCCCCACTAAGCCTATCCCCCCCTATTGTTGCCCCCAGCCTCCTTCCTACTTCCTACTTCCTGCCTCAGCCTGCCTCGGAGTGGAGTCTCCCGGGCCCCGGCCCGGGCCGGGGTCTCGGTCTCGGCCCGGGTTCACGGTTCACGGCGTCACGTCGGGGCCGGGACGGGGCGACGGTCGACGGGGCCCTGAGCCCTGAGCGGGGGAGGCCCTCTCGCCTGCGCCTGGCCTCGCCTCACCGCCGCCGCGCGCCGCCGCCGCCGCCGCCTGCCGGGCCGGGCCTGCCGCTGCTGCTGCTGCGGCCCGCCTGCGGGCCGCGGGCGGCCGCCGTGGCCCGCGGCTGGCCTGGGCGCCGCCGCCGCACGCCCCCGGGCCCCTGGGCCGAGCCCGGGCGCGTTTGGGCCGGGCACGGCGGCGGGCGGCGGCGGGGCGGGGCAGGGCCCACAGGGCCAAGGGTCCAGGGAAGGCCGAGGGCCGAGAGTCTGAACAAATGAGGCCGAGAGGCTCGAGAGGCTGAACAAATGAGAGGATGATACAAGAGAAATAGAAGGTAGAACAGGAATGGGTATCGTGGGGGCGACAGAGGTTGAATAAGTGAAATGAGTTTAATGAAAAGGTGAATTGGAGGCGAGAAACTCCTAAGGCAAAGGGTGCTGGGGGCACGAATGTACATCGTAGGCGAGAGATGGTGAAGGTCAAAGGAATGGGGCGAAATGGGTGGTATCCAAAAAATTAGTGATGAATGTGAGTTTTATCACGGGGAAGGCTCAGACAACTTCTCAGCAGGCGGGGGGACTTCCGGGCCTTCTGAGAAGGCCCGCCCCTTCTGACTTCCCCTCGGGGTCGCCGCCGAAAGGGAGGGGGGGCGCGGGTGGAAGGGAGGGGAGGGAGGGCTCAAAATGCTGTGAGCTTTCGGCCCGTGCCAACACCGAGAGGCCAGCGCACATACGATTGGGGCGAGCAGCATCGTGGGAACAACTTGGGAAGGAGTCCTGTCCGCAGTAGTCCTTGCCTTCTGCCTCAGATTCTGCAGGGGTGGGGTTGGATGTCGGGAGGGAGGGGGGTTGGGCGGTTGGGCGCGCGAGGGGCACTGGAGGTATGGTGGGGGTGGGGGCGGGGGCGAGGACGGGATGGGTATGTGGGCGAGGGGAGAGGGTAGGCTTTCTTGCGTTGACCCGACGTTGATGATCAAAGATCGTCGCGTCTCAGGGGGTCCCCATCCTCTACCTCCTCCTCCTTGATTTCTCCTTCTCCTCCTCCTCCTCCTCCTCCTCCATTTCTCCTCCTCCTCCTCCTCCTCCATTTCTCCTCCTCCTCCTCCTCCATTTCTCCGCCTCTTCCTCCTCCTCCTCCTGCTCCTCGTCCGGATCCTCCGCCGCAGGCAGGAGTCGGCCATAAGGGCGGTCCGGGGTGCGCTGGTGCGCCGAGCGCTCCTGGTGCGCCGAGCGCTCCGAGGCAGGAAGCGGAGGAAGCAGAAATGGACCGCAGCGGAGGCGCGGCTCAAAGGCGCCTTGCCTCGAGGACTCGACTCTCTGGGGCCCATGGGTTTCAAAGGCGCCTTGCTTCAAAGGCGCCTCGCCTCGAGGACTCGACTCTCTAGGCCCATGGGGGGGCCTCAGCGGGGAGAGGACCTGGGAGGCGCGCTCCGGGAGGCTGTCTCTGGGGGCCAGGCCCAGGCTGGGGGGGACATGCGGCCGATCTCTCGAAAGCGGCGTCGAAAGCTGAGCTTTGCCCCTCGATGGATTAGGTCGGGCATGCCGCCCCCCCCCCCCCCCTACAGGCGGATTTTGGAGGAAGGACAAACATAGACAAACAAATTCTGAACTAGTAAAGAATACTTGAACAAATTAGTCCCCGGACTATTTTCCTCATCTTTGAATATTCCTCCTGTACAGGGAACTGCCCGACTCTTTGTGGGCACCGGAAACGGCAGGGCCGTTTTTTCACCGTTTCCAAAAAATGTGCCTTGAAAGTGGAAACGGCAAAGAAACTGCGACCGGAAACGGCAAAAAAACGGCTCCAGGATTGGAACTGGAGCCGGAACCTATCAAAGATCGGCGACGGAACCGGTAAACAAACGGCGTCGGAACCAGCAAAAAAAACGGCAAAACGGAACCAGTAACAAAAACGGCTCTGTCGTTTCCAGGGCCCACTAAGGCCCGACTTACCTTAGGAGGCAACTCCTGGGAGGTCAGTGTAAAAAATGTGAAGGGGCCCATCCTCCACACGCTGGCCCTGGCTGCATCAAAGCAAGAAGGAAAAGAGGCAGCAGCAGAGAATGGGGAGGAGGAGGAGGAGGAGGAAGAGGATGAGGAGGAGGAGGAGGAGGAGGAGGAGGAGGAGGAGGAGGAGGAGAGAGAGGAGGAGGAAGGAGGAGGAGGAGGAGGAGGAGGAGGAGGAGGAGAAGGAGGAGGAGGAGGAGGAAGGGGAGGAGGAGAAATGGAGGACAGACAACGGCGACCATGACAAGGACTCAACGCGGAAACGTCGGTGACGATCTTGGCCTCAAACTATCTTGGTCACCGTCGAATCGTGGATCATTCTCGCAAACCGGCGACGGCAATCGCACGATCGTCTGTGCATCCGAAAGATTGAATACGTGTTTGTAGGAGAAGCGAGAAGGAGAGAGAGAGAGAGAGAGAAAGAGTGAGAGAGGGAGAGAGTCTGCCTGCAGTTGTCGGTTAATGTTGCGATGTGCAGGAAGGGGAATGGGAGGAATGGGTCGGGGGGGATTCGAGGGATAATAGGGGTGCCGAAGAGACGATGCTGAAGAGAAGAAGGGCAAACAGAGAAATACACAGATGCACACACATTCCTCAATCAGAGCTTGCCTCTGTAGGGGTCCTAGCGGATTCATATGGTTAGGTGAGGTTTGGTACCAATTTCGGCGACACGCCCGGGTGCCTGATGGGTGCCAGGGTTCTCCTCCTCCTCCTCATCCTCCTCCCTCCTCCTCCCCCTCCTCCTCCTGCCCCTCCTCCTCCTCCTCCTCCTCCTCCTCTTCCTCCCCCTCCTCCTCCTCCTCCTCCTCCTCCTCCTCCTCCTCCTCCTCCTCCTCCTCCCTTCTCACTACCCCCCGTCGCTCGCCACCGAATGGCGGGTGCATCGTAGACGGAAAGCGGAAGATCGCGGTGGGTGGGGTGGAAAGAGAATCAGCGGCGAAGGCAATATCCGGCAGCGAAGGAGGGGAGAGGATGGAGGGGACGGCTCGAGGGGTGCAAGGAGTCGTGCCATCGACGTGGCGTTGCTGCATCGCTGCGCTTCGCACTCACACGCACCATTCGACAATGGAATGCTAGAACGACTGCGTCACTTGCGCTAGCCTGCCAAGGTGCAGCAAACAAACTGATGCTACTCTTCGTCCCTGGTTTGTTTAGTGTGAGAGAGCGAGAATGGTGGAAGCATCAACAATGCTCGTGGCACGGCTGCTCCTGCAAATTCTTGAAGACATAGAACGGCCTCGCCTTATCCTCATGAGGAACCTCCCGTGCATCGACAGACGAAGGATGTCAATACGCATCGCCACTGGGGTATACACAATACTGACAAGCCTCGATCTTACCACTTCCCCTGATAATGAAAAGCCCAAATGCGGTGCCAATCCTAAAGATGCGCCCTCAGGAACTGAGAGGACCCGTAAGATCGGCATCGAGACCGGGTTCCACCAATCATAGGGATAGGGTATGTTCCAGGACGGAAATATACGCGGCACGCGTGCACATGAACCAAGTCGGAGACAGGCGAACAAACAACAGGAACTCGAACATACGGCGAACACACACACACACATCCTGAAAAACACAAAAGCCGCCGACAACTCCCACGATGTACGATGCTACGGCAATGATGCGGCAGTGATACGTGACACTTCATATCCTGGTGATTCAACCTGGCTTCCGCCTGACAACGCCTTTGACATCACGCTGCCTGTGAGGAGGGAAGAACATGACCACAGAACTTCGCCTGACTCGGCCTCGAACGCTGTGCGAATCAAGAGGTAGTCAAGCAAACCGGAAGCACTGCAAGAACCGACCTGCGATAGGCATCTTCATGCATCGATCCGTGGCCTGAAAGAGGAACGAGAGTGCTGCATGCGCGAAGACAAGATGAGGCGAGGAGGAGAGAAGGGAAGGCGCACAGGGCATGCGAAGACCGAAGCCCGTCGTGCCCACGCTCCACGCCCACACGGTAGAGCGCAGCACGTAATACGGAAAAGAACTGGGCACCAACGACAGATCGAACAAGAACTCTCAAAAAACGACGGCGCGCATCATCAACAAAAACGCGAGGCCCGAACCCTGTGAGACCGACAGCGTACGAGCGTGGTGGCGGTGACTCGCAACGACGAAGTAGCAGAGGAGAGACACGGAGAAAGGGGGGGAGATCGAGAGGAGATATCACGGTGCCTTTCCCGCAGCGCGCGACAACAAACAAACGATTCCACTTCCTGGGCGTCGGCAATCGCAGGCAACATAACCAAACCGAGTCCATGACTGATGATTACCTCCCTGCATTGACAGGTCTCTGCGTGGGCGGGGGTGAAAAAGTATTCGGCGTCCTGGGTCGCAACGCTGGAGCGCGGACTGAGGGGATCAGAGTCACAGTCGGAAATTGAACCTGGTGTTGCACACACACACACACCCACACACACGAACACGTCTTCTCCGAACGCGTCGGCGGTTTGCAATCGATGGTACAACAACAACAACAACAAGACACGGGATACTTCCATTAACGGGAACTGACCACTATGTGATGGAGAGTGAACGCAGCTGGGAGCCCATGCGAGAAAGAGAGACAGAGAGAGAGAGAGAGAAAGAGTGAAGGAGAGAGAGAGAGAGTGTGCGTGAGAGAAAGAGAAAGAGGGACAGAACGAACGAGAGAAAAACACACAACAAATGAAATAGAGAAAACGAGAGAGGGAGACGGAAATATGTAGAGAGACACCAGTACACATACACCTACTTCACGAAATCAATAAAGGAACAGCACTCGTCGACAAACACACAACATGTAGATAGAGAGAGAGGGAGCCAAACAGAGCGAGAGAGAGAGAGAAGCGCACAGACAGCCGACCCCACATGGGCCCCGGAGACTTCGACACAGCTCCGCGGGGACCGTCTGCTGGGGGGGACAGAAAAGGGTACCGATGCCGCTGCGCCAAAAGGTATCTCTCCCGGGGCGCCAGCCTCACAAGAAAACCGATTTCTCCTCTACGTCTCTCTCTCTCTCTCTTTCTGCCGAGGGCCGCTTCTTTATTACAGTAGGGGCCCGGCAACAAGAAACACTCCAGAAGACACCCAACCCTGAGACCCCCGGGGCTTCCGTTGATTCTTGGCGTGGGCACGTCACGCTGTCCATCGCAAGGCCATCGCAACACAAGAAAAACAGGGGCACCCTGGAGGCAAACAGGGTGCTTCTTGGCATGGGCTTCCATTGTAAAAAGGCCCAGGGGTCCCCATAGCGGGCCCGAGCTATGGAGGCCGAGCGCCGAGCGAGACGGGACATGTCCGCTGGGCCGCGCTCGTCGCGCGACGCCCACTTCCCTGGGCCTCCTCCTCCTCCTCCTCCTCCTCCTCCTCCTCCTCCTCCTCCTCCTCCTCCTCCTCCTCCTCCTCCTCCTCCCCCCCCCGTCGACCCCTCGGGCCTGCGTCCTGTGCCCAGCGCGCTGCAGCCGGAATTCCGAGGCGGAGCGCCGCGAGCGGCGGAGGCCGTCACGAGCGACGTCCCGGCGGTGCGCAGACAGAGGTTCGAGGATCGAGGCTCGAGGCCTTCGTACGGTTTCGTCGGCCACCGGACGGTTTCGTCAGGCCTTGACCGCGAAGACAACCGAGAAACTCCGACCGCCCGTGAAAACGTGGACAGATCACAGCGCCCTTCCCCAATTGCTCCCAACGACTGAACCTATAGGTCGACTCTGGGATCGACTACAATAACGATTTACCCTCATTTGCTTTCCCCACATCCAAAGTGGTTTCTTTTTTTCTCTGGACACCGCGCGCAGAAACCAGGACACCCCCTCCCTTCTCACTCACGCAATCACGCACTCACATCATCATCGTCACCATCACCACCACCGCATCATCATCATTTACACAACCATTCACTCACACTCCCTCGACAATAAGATCATTCCCATTCACGCATACCTTACTCACGCACTATCCCACTCACTCACTCACCAACACACCCGCCCATTCACCTTGAGGTGCTCTCCGGTCGGGACCTCGTCTGTGAGTGAATTGCGAAGGAGACTCCAGCGGGAACCCCATCCGTGTGGGGCCCGCGCCTCATGTCACTAATCCGGGCGGGCCATCGGAAACCTGTAACTATCATATGTATATTGTCGGCTCCTGAAGCGTGACTACGGCGGGAATGTCAGGCGGGAGCCCCTCCCCTTCGAGACCCGCGGATCATGTTACCAATCCGAGCGGGCCATCATGTGCAGAAACCGTGTAACTGTCGTCGCGTCTGGGTTCCGGCAGCCTGGATACGGAGGGTGTAAAAGGCGGGAGTTTCGTCTATGAGTGGGTCGCGACGAAATCTCAAGCGTAACATCCTTCCATACGGGGCCCGCACTTCGCATTCTGAATCCGAACGGGTCATCTTGAAGCGGGAATATGGCGGGAGTCTCAGGCCGGAGCGTCGTCTTGTGGGTGGACAGAAAAAACGTTTCAAGCGGGAGGCCTTCCCTTATGGGGCCCACCAATCATGTTACTGATCCGAACGGTCATCGGAAAACGTATAACTGTCGTCACTTCGCGGCTCCTGAAGCGGAACACGGCGGGAATTTCAAGCGGGGGCATCGCCTGTGCGTGGATTGCGAGGACATGGGGTCCGCACTTCATTTTGGTAACCCGAGCGGGCAATGCGAACCTTGTAACGTCGCATGCGGAAGCCTCGTATGTGAGTGAACGGTGAGGAAGTCTCGACCGGGAGACCGTCCATGACAGAGCCCCTTCTCCGTGTTGGAATCCGAGCGGGCCGCAGGCACCCCTGCAACGTGGAATCCGACCGGGCTTCTCCGGCATGCGCACGAAAGAAATCAGGTCGGCGACTTCTCGGCCGGGGGAGCTCCTTGTGGGGACGGGAAGGAACGTGCCACGCGCATGCGGAACATGTTGGTCTTGAGGCCGCCTTCGCGAGAGTTTCTGGAGCGCGAGCCGCCGGCGCCCCTGCGGAAGGCGTTCCGGGAGTTCGACAAGACGGCTGCGAATTCCAGGACTGAGGCCGAGCAGGTCGCGGCAAAGCTGGGCGTCGTGCTGCCCCCGTCAAGTATTTTTCTCACGTGTAGTGGGTTATGCCGCGTCTGCCAATGAAAACTTGCAGCAACCGACTGTGTTCCGAGTCATCTTGACACGCGTTAACGATTTTCGGTACTTAACCTGAGATTCGGGAGACCTGCGGGGTTGTCCCAACGGCTGGCTCCCGCGCCCCAGCGGCTCGCGGTATTTTCCCAACGGCCTCGCCCACGGGGCTGTCCTAGCGGCCCCGCGATCCGGCCACAGGAGAACGCGACCATGCCAGCCGTGGCGGCAACGGCGCCAAAGAACATCGACTTGCCCCGGCAACGATGCAGGAAAGATGCAGGGGCAAAACAGGCAGGAGGCTGATAAATATTGGGGAATGGGTAGGACGGCGAGGATGGGAAGGATGAGAAGGAGGGGGGGGGAAAGAGGGAGGAGGGGAGGACGACAAGCTAGGCACGCTCGCGTCATCTCTGGTTCTCGACCCCTCCCCCCCATCCCTCACCATGGCGTGGATCTCGTCTCTATTCGCACAATCGGATGTCGAAGCATAGCGTAGCATTACATGGCATAGCACGGTGTTGAAGATTAGCGCGTAGCATGACAAAGCACGGCGTGGCGACGCCCCACAATGGGGGGGCGCTTACGCGACCCCAAAAATCAACGAATCGACACCGAACGTGGAATCGCTTTCGATGGTGTTATTTCGAAAGCCATGTTCGAGATTATGGGGCCTATTTGGAAGGACAGAAATCATGCCGTGGTATGGGGCTGGAAATAATGACGCCAGCGCTGCAGCGGGAGCACGATTCGGAACGAGCGGAAGCGCGAAAATGAGGCCAACGCTGCAGCGGGATCACGATTCGGAACGAGCGGTAGCCCGAAACTGAAGCCAGCGCTTCAGCGAGAGCAGCATTTTGAAAACAAAACAAAGCGAAAACCCCTTTACCGGGAATCTGGCGTGAAAAAACAGTACGCGGAGGGGGGCTGGCCATTTCCTGGACGTCACCAGGGGAGATAGGAGAGTAGTAACCATATTGTGTTATTGTGAAGGCGGAGGAGACGGAGGGCGAAGATGACGACGAGGAGGCGGCGCAACAGAGAGCGGGAGGAGAGCCTCCGCAAAGGCGAATGGGAAAAAGCGAGGGGCAAATTTGACAACAAATCTCATGTGGGGCCCTTCCGTCGGAGTGAGATGTTTTCGTCGAGCCTACGGAAACATGCAGAGTGCTCCGCAAAGCCAGGACACACTCTACGCATTCGCCCGTAGACTCGGCGGAAACACCAAATTTGGGGGAACATCGGATTCTGCAACGGTTCCCCTGCTCGAACAGGCAAGGAGTGCCACTCGGCGCGCAGCTTGCCGATCGCGGCACGCGCTGGCAACGGCCTGCGTGCCTGGGCGTGTCCCCCCCCCCTCCGCCCCAGAAGCCGCGCACCACCGGCCACCCCGGCGAAGGGTCGCTCTTCTTCGGCGGCGAGCGAGGGGGGCAAGCGCGAAGGAGCCCCATCTCGCTCGCCGCCGACTCACCTTTCGCCGCCTGCCCCGAAGGGGAAGCGATAAGGGGGACTGGCTCAGTCAGGGGACGTTTGCCTGGGGCAATCAGGCAGCCGACTGGACTGGCGAGGAATGGGCGATTGGGGGTCGATGCCTCCCCGTCCGAGCCTTCCCCCGACTTCCCCCTGGTAACGAAGGCTGCGGGCTGTGCAGAGACAGCCCCTGCGGGTAGTTCAGCCTGGCTTCACGAGGCGCCCCGAGCAGTCTGGGGCGGCCTCAACACCTCGACCCTGGGGCGCGTAGCGCTCCAGGGGCGCCTCCTCCTCCTCCTCCTCCTCCTCCTCCTCCTCCTCCTCCTCCTCCTCCTCCTCCTCCTCCTCCCCGCCGGAGGCGGTGCCAGGGTGCTGAGACCGCCCTGGACCGCTCAGGGGGGCCCGTCGAGGCCAGCTGGGACTGCCTGGGCGGCTGTCGGTGTGCAACCCGAAGCATTGCCACCTCCTTCGGGAGCGGCCAGGAGGGGGGTGTCCAAGAGGGCGGGGTGCAGATCATGACCGGCGGCATGCGCGCGGCCCAGCGGGGGCGCCAGGGACGCAGTGGAATAAGAAGAGGCGCCATGAAATCTGGGGAAATATCATGGCCCCCGCCATGATATCCACCCCCCCCCTTAGTCATCACCCCCCTCCCTGCCGCCCCCGACTCCCCACCCCCGCCCCCGCCTCCGGTATGCCCGGGGACACGGGCACGGTCGACTTCTTGACCGCGGACAGCCACACTTGCCTTCGCTGGGGGAGACGCGAGCGGGCTGCCGCGCGGTGCGGCGCGCTCTCCGGGCGCCCTGACCTCAAGAAGCGCATCCCTGCAAGGTCTTCGTGATGTCGACAGACGGCCTTTGGGCCCGATGGGAGGACCACTGGGCCAGAGGGGGCCAGACTGAGCGAGGGATCCAGCAGAACTGAGCGCGAGTAGATTGCACGGACTGTGCCAGATTGGGGCGGCTTTCGACCACGGGTATGCCAGCGCCGATGGTGAGTTGAACTTCCCAGGAAATTCATCCGATGTGGGGAAACCCAACAAGACGGTACCGATACCGTACCTCCCCAGGACCTCTCCTGGGGTGCGTTCTGACCAGGATTTCGAACCGAATCCAGCGATGGCGACGAGGGCCTCCGAGACGGCCCAACAAGAGAAAAACGAGGCAAGGGCAGCGGTATCTGTGCATGCTCCCTCCTCTGGCTAACCACCATGACTCTCGTCTGGCCGCTTCGCTCTGCGCGCTGACGTGGGCGTTGTTGGGCAGGCGGCCTCCTGCCTCAGAGGGACACAGTCGGCGGCGACACCGACAGCGAGTCCTATTCAAATGAGCAAGAACTGCTGTCGGTCTTTGTGCCCATCTTTCCGTACCTGGTTCGATCATCCCGAGACGTGGGCGTCCTCCACCCAAGATAGCGCCACAAGAATTGCGGAGGCCAGTTTCTTCCAGGCTTATGTCGGGCGTGTCTCCCTACAGGGGGATTTTCAACGAAAACCAACAAATCCCCAAAAATACTCCAAAAAGGCAAAAAAATACTAACAAAATAGTGCCCAGACTATTTTTTGATTGTTTTTTGATTATTTTGGGGGTACTTTTACTTTTTCGTTGAAAATCCCCCTGTAGGTGGGACAGGCCCGACTACATTCCAGGCTTCTCGGGCTCCGCCCCGCGCTTCGGGCCACGGGGCATCGTCCGCAGATCATCTGGGCCGCCTCTATTTCGCCACCGTGCCCTCCGGCACGCCGTCTTGCCATCGCTCGGGCGTCCGTTCCCTGTGCATTTCTCGGCTTCTTGCACTTATTTTTCGCGAGATGGTCCAAGGTGATCCTCTACAGCCCTCGCCGAGAGAAGTGCGCACGTCCGAGCGATGGCAAGGTCTACTGGCACGCTGAGACGTCGTAGGATGCCAAGCGCTGTCTGGTAGCGTTCTGTCAATCGTCCACGTGACCACTTTTTCTCCTCACGCTTACACGCCGGTCGGGAGAAGTAGGTAGAAACAAGAAGTAGGAATACGGATAAAGTATATTGGGTTCGGGCCTTCCGAGAAGAACAACAAACACACTAACAACATGTCGATTCTTCAAGTAGGAAGGCGCTCGAAGTAGACTGGGATCTGGAAACCCAGAAATACCCACTTCCGACGACCGGCGTGTAGCTGCATGCATTGCCCCTCCCGAGGCTCCTGAGCGCCGCGACGCCTCCCTGGCTCTTTGCAAGGCGTCCAGGATGCCCCAGATGGATTCCCAGACGGCCCCGAGCAGGCCAACGAGGCGGCCGAGATGGCCCAACACCGCCTCAAGACGCACCCGAGAGTCCAGCAGACGCGCTCCATCCGCCACCGTGCCTTGTGCACGTGGAGACGCGGAAGGATGCCACGGCCTGCCTGGTCGGGTTTCTGCAATCTCCTTGACTGTGCCCCCCTCTCCTGGCCGCATTTCGCCGCGCGTACCGCTCCCCCTTCCCGAGGCCATCGTCCGTGGTAAAATACGACACTTGCGCCCCCGAGCACAGGTGCCTCCAAGACGCCCCAAGATGGCTTCGAGACGGCCCACAAGGCCGCCGAGGCACCCCGAGAGAGCCCCAAGAGCCTTCCCAAGAGGGCCTCGAAAGGCAACATTCATTGAATGTCATGAGCTGTTTCAATGTTCTTTTGGTCCTCGCCTTTCCGAGCTTCCGACGCCCCAGGGCGACCCAAGAGGCCACCAGGACTGCCCCACAGACGGCCCCCAAGAGGGCCCAAGAGAGCTCCAAGACTGCCCGGGAAGCCCACCAGAAGTAGGGGAACACAAAATGACATAAACATGAAAACTCGGAGGTCCGCGCGGATTTCACGGATCGGCGCTGGACCCCCCTCCCTGGCGCGCGGAGCGCGCCAGGGGCGGCGCCGGAGGCGCCGCCGGGGGGGCCCCAGCGCCGATCCGAGAAATCCGCGCGGACCTCCGAGCTTTTATGGTTATGCCACTTTTGGTTCCCCTGCAGAATGCCCAATAGAGAGCCCCAGGACGGCTCCAAGAAGGGCACTGCCCAGAGGGTGACGCACGAAACGACCCTTTCGGGCCTCCCCCGCCCACAGGAGGGCCCACCGGAGGCCCCTCGGCGAGGGCCCAAAAAGAGGCCCCCGAGAGAGGCCACGAGGGGCAGGCACCCTTGAGTTTCCAGGAGGAGGAGGAGGAGGAGGAGGAGGAGGAGGAGGAGGAGGAGGAGGAGGAGGAGGAGGCGGGGGAGGAGGAGGAGGAGGAGGAGGAGGAGGGGAGGAGGAGGGGAGGAGGAGGAGGAGAGGAGGAGGAGGAGGAGGAGGAGGAGGAGGAGGAGGCGGAGGAGGAGGAGGAGGAGGGGGGGGGGAGGAGGAGAGGAGGAGGAGGAGGAGAGGAGGAGGAGGAGGAGGAGGAGGAGGAGGAGGAGGAGGAGGAGGAGGAGGAGGAGGAGGAGGAGGAGGAGGAGGAGGAGGAGGAGGAGGAGAGAGGAGGAGGAGGAGGAGGGAGGAGGAGAGGAGGAGGAGGAGGAGGAGGAGGAGGAGGAGGAGGAGGAGGAGGAGGAGGAGGAGGAGGCGGCGCCCCAAGACGGCCCAAATGATACCCCGAAGACTCCCCCGAGGCGGCTCAGGAGGCCCCCAAGACGGCTCTAAGACGGCTCCAGAGGGCTCCAGGACGGCCCAACAGGCGCCCTCGACTGCCCAAGAGGGCCTCAACACGGCCGCAAGAAGGGCCCAAGAGCGGGGGCACGAACCCAGAACGGGAGCCTTCTGCCCCAGGAGGCCTCCAGCAGGCCCCCCATGCCTTCTCGAGTAGTTGCCACCCATAATGCTGCGCTGGCACGGTGGCGGAATTGCCGGAGGCAGCTGGGTAGATTCCAAGAGGCCTCCAAAAGTGTCCAAGACACCCCCGAGACGCTCTCCATGCCCTCGAGGGTTTATACAGCTTTCCATGTTCTTGCTTCCAACGCACTCTGGTCGAAGATCTGAGCAATTGAGGTCTTCGAGGGCCCAATGGGTCCCACTTACAGTCCCAAGAAGGTTCCGAATTAGGCCAGGACGGACCAAGAGAGCCCAGCTGGACCAAGAGGGCCCCCGCAAGGATCCCAGACGGCCTGAATGGGCACATGGACGGCCCAAGACCGCCCCACCAAGTGCGGCCTCAAGAGACCCTCCAGAAAACTCAATTGCCCAAAGACGGCCCAAGAGGTCCCCAAGACGGCCCCAGGGGCCAAGACTCCCAAGGCTGCCCCACATGAGCCCAAGCAATCCCCAAGACGGACCGAATAGTTCCCATGAGGTACTGTCCTGCCCATAGGTCCCGAACAGTACCACACGGACCCAAGACGTACAGAGTTGCTGTGCTGCCAAGGTGGCGGAATTTGCCGCATGCACTTGGATGTTAAGAGCTGCGTTTCGCGCGGTTATCTTCGCGCCCTCGCGCGGCCTGCCTGGAGATGGGAGATGGAATCCTGGCTCCACCATGCAGTCGCACACACATTAGACGCTTCCCCACCAGGTGATAGTGCCTCGAAAGAGCTCATGCTTCAAATCGCGCAACGCTGAGGATTGATACCAGACTCACTGCAAGCTGACGTGAGCTGATGCAGCGATGCGAACGATAGGTGCTCGATTGAACACTCCGTCTTTGACCTCCGACGACGTGGCGCACGAACCACTACCGCTCGAACCGTTTCCCGCGACTGGCTTATCCAGATCATTCGTTTTGCGCTCCTGGAGCCTGGAAACGGCGCCCAGACGCCGCTGACCTTTGAAATATCACGGCGCATGAAACAAACACCAAGACACTAAATTCCCCGGCCCGACGGGCCAAAGACATGCTAGTATCCCCGGTATGAGGCTTAGACCATATGTATACGATGAAACATCCCACGCGAGGGGCGGCCCCTGGAGGTCCTGGGAGGTAGCGTACCCCGAGACGGTCGGTTTTGAGATGCGAAAGAGCGTGATCCTCCGCCGCTTTACTGTGGAAAATTCCCCCCCCTCTTCCTCCGGAACCCGGGAGTCCCCCCCCCTCCGAAAATCCCGGTCACCTGCTGTAACCCCTCCCCCCCCTTTCCCCCCGGTAGAACCCCCCCGCCCCCCCCCGACCCCCCCCCCCCCCTCCCCCTTCCAGAAAACCGGAGGAGGGTCACTACCGGTTCGAACCCCCCCTCCCCTGGAAAACCGAGCGGGGTCACTACCAGTTCGAACCCCCCCCCCTCCTCCCCCAAAGACCAAGGGGGGTCACTACCGGTTCGAATCCGTCCCCCCCCCCTCCAAAATTATCCCGGCAAAGCAACCTAACAGCGATGTGTAGGAGCATATGTGGAAGCATTCCCCTCAAGATTCAGATGAGAATCCAGTTGCAGAATTCTGATGTTCTCGCAGTCGTAGTCGCATTCGCGATGACAGTCGCAGTGGCAACGGCAGTCGCAGTCACAGCCTCAGCCTCAGCCTGCCTCAGCCTCAGCCTCAGCCTGCCTCAGCCTCAGCCTGCCTCAGCCTCAGCCTCAGCCTGCTTCAGCCTCAGCATCAGTCTGCCTTCAGCCTGCCTCAGCCTCAGCCTGCCTCAGCCTCAGCCTGCCTCAGCCTCAGCCTCAGCCTCAGCCTCAGCCTGCCTCAGCAGAAGCCTGCCTCAGCCTCACCCTCAGCCTGCCTCTGCCTCAGCCTCAGCCTGCATCAGCCTCAGCCTCAGCCTCAGCCTGCCTCAGCATTAGCCTGCCTCAGACTCAGCCTCAGCATCAGCCTGCCTCAGCCTCAGCCTCAGCCTGA